ATGAGAAAGAATGAAATATAGCCCTTTGTAGCAACGTGGATGGATCTGGAGAGTGATGCTAAGTGAAATAAGTCATACAGAGAAAGACAGATACCATATGGTTTCACTCTTAGGTGTATCCTGAGAAACTTAACAGAAACCCATGGGGGAGGGGAAGAAAAAAAAAGGAGGTTAGAGTGGGAGAGAGCCAAAGCATAAGAGACTCTTAAAAACTGAGAACAAACTGAGGGTTGATGGGGGGTGGGAGGGAAGGGAGGGTGGGTGATAGGTATTGAGGAGGGCACCTTTTGCGATGAGCACTGGGTGTTGTATGGAAACCAATTTGACAATAAATTTCATATATTGAAAAATAAAATAAAATAAAATTAAATTAAATTAAATTAAATTAAATTAAATTAAATTAAAAATGGATGTGTGTACTGTTATAAAATGTCTAGTACAGCTATGCCGGATACACTGATTTCTCCCCATGCCTCTTCATGGAATCTCTCTGTGAGGTAGCAATTACCTTTTCACCATAGAGCTGGCACAATATTTCTGTTCTCTCTATTCCTCCCACTGGCATAAAACCAATGAAAAAGATAATGGAGGAAAGCCACCAATCCACATTCAAAATGTTGCCAAGTAACCTGAATCCGTTGGAGTAGCCTAAGCTTGTGGGTGAATATATGGTATTCTTGTTTCCAACAGTGCTTTTTCTTCTAAAGTAGATCTGTGAGCTTATTTTGAAGAAGACTTGAATTAAAAAATTTCAAATTATACTCTAGAGATAAAAGCACAACATTGCAAAATATCCAAAGCTGAACGTATTTACCTGTCCTTGTTCGTACAAACATATCAAGAAGATAGACTATGTCTGATAGGTAATCAAAAATGAGCCAATATTCTAAGTAATCAGACTGAAGTTCATCAAAACATGCTCTGTAAAAGAAAAACATGTAAATAAAATGAACTGGGAGCCAGTTTAAGTAAAAGTCTTCTCTGTATACTTTTTATCATGGTAAGAGGTATAATGCACTAAGGCTGAGAGGGTCCTTAGAGTCCATTTAATCAACCACAGCTTTTCCGAATCTGAATGGTTTGATTTATTTTTCTCATGCGTCTGAATTCCAACATTCTTTCGATTACACTAGTTCGCTTTGTGGAAACATCAAATAAGAATAAATGGCCTCAAGCTAATGTCAAAATATATTGGCTTATACACATTGATAACCAGGTTCTTATTGACTATCTGTACCCAAAATGCTTCCAGGAATTGTGCTTGGTCCTGGGTTGCTGAGATGTTTACTATCTAAAAGACAGAGAACCGTAGACATACCTGAGAAACATATCTTGCTCTAAAACAACCTAAATTTTTTATCTTTTTCCACTCCTGGCAATGTTTTTTTCTTAGGCCACAAAAATAAAGTTTCTCCCAAAATTCTAATAAAACGACTCAGCAATCAAAAGTTTAAAACTATCCCCCCACACTTCATTCCAGTACTGGATTTCCAAGTATACTGGGAACCAATACATCTTCTCCTGATGTCAGGAAAACACATTGAGAATAACATAACCTCTCTTTACAACCTAAGGTGGAGAAAGGATGTACATCCTGAAGAGCTCTGGACCAAACCATTAAGTCAGTTAACTCAGAAACTAGAAGCAAATTGAGACCCACAAAAATATATAGATACCTTGCAATAATCATAGTCCAGTTGTACATGACAGGTAAGGTGATGCAAAACAGCCAGTTGTAGTATGTGTTTCCTGAGGGATCAATAACCGTGACTTCTTTCTTCTCCCTAGCAGCAATTTGAAATGAAGTAGAAGGTTACCAAAAAACAAGAACATTTTTATTTCACATATTAAATATGGTTATGTCCATTATCCACAATTAATGAAACAGAACTAAGCTGGAGAAGCTCACCCTCCAGGGAGAAGATTAGCTTGGCATGAGTGTATTAGACATCAGCAATTGCCTAGTGAGGGCTGGATAGATGGTTAAATTATTAGTCTTACATTAAACCTTACATTAGACTTTTATTAAAGCCCTGTTTTACTGCGATGCTGCAGATACTTCTATCAATTCAGCCACTGAAAAGGAATAATGGCACAGATCATGCCAGATTCTGAATATTCCGTAGACTTCTTTGGTAGGTTGTAGGTGGTGAGAGAATGGTGGTGTTACCACTTTTCCTACTAGGTAACAAAATAATCAGGAACTACACTGTGAGAGGGAGCTCTCATCTGTGTGGAAAGAAGACTGTAACACAATCTAATAAAAGGTACTTGTTCATAAGCATCTATGAAGGATGAAGAGGCAATAGGAGGTGGAAGGAAGAAGGAAGAAGGAAGGAAGGAAGGAAGGAAGGAAGGAAGGAAGGAAGGAAGGAAGGAAGGAAGGAAATATATCGTCAAATGGAAAAATTTTTTTAATTGCCTAGTATCAAGCCTCTATTGGGTTTGGGGAGAGGGGTTGGGTTTTTTTTGTTTTTAAAGATATTATTTTTAAATAATCTCTACACCCAAGTTCAAGCTCCAGTGTGGAGCTTGAACTTAACAACCCGAGAGGAAGAGTCGCCCCCTCTACTGACTGAGCCAGCCAGGCACCCCAAGCCTATATTGCAAAGGACTTTTTCCTTTGTAAGAACTTCAATGCCTTTCTAGCAGGCACAAATAAGTGAATATTATCTGGTAAAGAAAAAGAGTTTTCTTTAAGCTTAGAAAACAATTTCCCCTTTAATAAAAAGTAAAAAGATAGTTTTGAAAATATCATTCGGCCTCACCTTTATGAAATTCTAACCCTCAAATGTTTGCTTACAAAAGATCTTGCAAATGGTTGGAGTTTTAATAAGCATTTGTACTGAACTCAGATTTTTTTTTTTTAATGTTTCCTTATTTTTGAGAGAGAGAGAGAGAGACAGAGAGAGAAAGAAACACAGAATCAGAAGCAGGGTCCAGGCTCTGAGCTGTCAGCACAGAACCCAATGCGGGGCTGGAACTCAAAGTCTGCGAGATCATGACCCAAGTGCAAGTCAGACCCTTAACTGACTGAGCCACCCAGGCGCCCTGTCCTGCTCTCAGAATTAAGCATGGCTTTTGCAAGGAGACTAGCTTACTTTGGAGTATTTGCCATACAGTATTTATTACTCAAAAATGTTAGTAAAATTATTAAATTTTTATTTCAATTTAAAAAAATTAATGGTAAGACCGTAGAAACCTAATTCTCTTGAAATCCAAATATCTCCGAATGGTAAATTTATCTTCACCAGGACTTGAGGAAGTCAGTTAACCATAACATTGAAAAGTCTTAATGAGAAAAGTAAGAATAAAACTACCATTGGTCACTTTAAGGAAATAAGAAAAAAAAATTAATTCCCATTAGATAACAATCTATTTAGTCTTTTACACAAGGTTTCATAATTATAAACTTTTAGGAAATTATCCTTGCATCCAAAATCCATTACAAATTCATTCCTAATTTCAATGCCAGTAAAAACACTTACTCTTCTTTCTTATCTTTGCCTTTATCCTCTTTCTTTTTCTTCTCTTTTTCCTTTTCTTTCTTCTTTTTCTTCTCTGAGTCCTTTTTATTTACATTTTTATCATCTGACTTGCTGAAAAGTGAGAGATGTAGTCAGTAATAAAATATGAAAATGTTATGGGCCGAAAAATCTGGGATCATTCATGCCAAAGCCTAACTTACCTCTTCTTTTCTTTCTTCTTTTTCTTTTTTTCTTTTGGTTCTCTAAAGAAGAAATAATATCTAAGTCACACAATCAAATTACATCCTGACTTCCATTCTTATTTACTTCCCTCTCTATTGAGCAAGAAATCTGAACCTTGTCTTCAGAGACCTGCTCACGTGCTAAGAACTAGAAATCTGGTCTTCTAATGGAGAGTTATACAAAAATAGACCTACACCTAGATAATAAAACAAACAAACAAACAAACAAACAAACAAACATTCCTGGGTTAGTACACATGGAAAATTGAAGACAAGGGAGGCGGATAAAGGCATAAACCCAACAAGGGAAATTTAGAAAACAACAACCCCCAAGAGTGCACTTTCAAAAAGCCTCCATGTGTACAAAAAAAAATTATTTAAAATGTAAGCTTCTTGATATCACTTATATTTATTATTGAGTAAGAGCGTGGAGAATTTCAAGAAAATGCCATCAATTTTCTTTAGAAGGGTAATCCTGACTGAAGCAATTTTTTATGAGTAGTCAAAAAACTCCACACAGTGGAATCCCAATTCTTAGAATCATTCAGTGAATTTGAGATCACCTTTTCTCTATATACAATTTCTTCTGCAGTGGAGATTATGCAATTTGAGGCTCCTTCCTACAGTTGGTTCTATTAGCTGAAGAATGGATTCTGGAGCCAGGCAGACCTATGGTCAAAACAGGCTGCCATTGTTGGCTCAGATGTCTTGGGAAGGTTTATTATTCAGACATGAATGAACAGGCATTGCACTACCACTAGGGTAGTCAGAGAGGATGTTAAAGGGAGATAGGGCTAGGCCTCAAAGCATGGGTAAGAGTTGGAGTGGTTGAGAAGAGTGAGGACACTAAAAGGAAGAAAATTTTCAGGAGCAAATGTACAAGTGAATTTAGTCTGCATATCAATAGCCCAGGAAAAGTAGAATGCTGCTATTGAGGAGAAATATGAAATAAATTAGATAAAGATGTGGGGCTTGGCACCTAAGACTGTCACGTACAAAGGGGAACAGAACATAAAACTGGACAAGGGAGAATTTATTGCCATGACAGCATATTCTTGTGTTATAGGCTTCAACACCCTAGCCCAGATCCATGGAAATGGTGCCAACACACTGCTGGGATGGCTCTCAGAAGCTCAGAAAAAATGATGATTTGTGTAATGATGATAAAAATGATGATAAGTGTAATAGAAATTACAAAGTGCCATGACAGACGGTGGAGGAAGGTATCAGGGAGACTGAGAGAAGTGATGTGCTGAAGTGGACATACCAAGTAAGGAAGATTACCCACCAACTGACTATGGTCCCTAAGAGGGCTCAGAGGACACAAAAATGATAAGGAATATGCTGGTGAGAGGTGCACCAGCATCATTAAGAAACTCAGTGGTATTGTCCTCTATAAGCCAGAGCTGGTAGTGGGAGATACTGAACTGGATGCAAAACTGGGTTCCCTGAGAGCAACTGAGATGACAGAACCTGGGAATAAGAGATCGGTGGCAGTGCTTACACATCAGAGGAGAGATGGGTCCAATAACTATAATTACCATGAAGGTGAGCATGGTAGCCAGAGGGCTTAACTCATAGACAGCTATAGAAGAAGTTAATTGTATACTGGATTCCTAGATATATGGGCATCCTTTTGGTTTGTTGGGGTACTGTTTAATGTATACAATGAAAACATATCAGGTATGGGTGATTAAGAGGTTGAAGGCAACTTAACCAGATAAAAAGTCACAACCTTATGAGTAGTTTCTAAACCTGAGCCAGTTCTCAGAAATGAAACCACTGACTGAAGAGGGAGCCAAGCCCCCATAAAGAAAGACTCTGCAAACACCATGACCAGTATACTCAGTAATGATTTCCCCAGTCTTTCCCCAGAGAAAACCCATGGTCACTTACATAGGTGACTATGCGCTGGGAGAAGAGGGAGTACCTAGATACATTAAAGACTGTTTGGCAAAAGACCCAAGCTGTTATTGAGACCCAGGGATTGAAGTGTCATCATGCCTCCCATTAAAGTGGGGGGCAGCATATGGTGACCTACTAATAACAGAATCCTGTATGATTTACAACTTAAGGGGTTTCCACTGGATCTAAGGACCCCTATTGTGGTCATTTCTCCAGTTCCTCAATGTTAACTGGAATGTAAGTGGATGCATATATTTGGTCATTGGCAGAACCCTTATCCCTACTAGTTCCTTAACTTGTAGAGTAAGAGCTATCATAAGGGGGAGGGCCAAGTGGAAGCTCTCAAGCTGCCTCCTACCTGCTGGCCGAAAACAATATTGCATCCTAAACAGGAGGGAAAGAAAATGAGACCCTTAAAGACCTAATGCATGCAGGGGTGGTAGTCCTCCCACATTTAATTCAAAGTCTTGTCCCTACAAAATTCACATGGATACTCATGAATGGCAGTAGACTACTGAAAATCAAGCACATAGCAGCCCCAATTGTGGCTCCTGTGGCAAATGTGAAAAACAATGCATTTATGCTATCTAAACCATATACCTAAAGTTCTGGGCCAGTCACAGTGACTGTGTTATTTTTTTTTTTTTTATCACTATCAGGGAAGAGGATCTGAAATAGTTATGGGGTGGAAAATGGCACATTTATAGTCTCTTCCAGGGCTATGTTATCTGTCCTGCTTAATGTCATGACACAGCCTAGAGGGACCTGGACTATCTGGACATTCCTTGGAGCGTCACATTGGTCCACTATATCAATGGCATCATGTTAACAGGGCCTTTAAAGAGGACTGACTAACCATGGAACAGAAGATGACTGTTGACCATGAGTTGGATTCTGTCAGAACTAACAAGTCATGAGGTTGTACAGCAATCTATCACATGATGAAGTGGTATATCTGGGATTGAGCAGGTGCTCACTACCCTTCCATCATGTCATCTACCACCATTGCATCAGCTCCTACTCTTCAACTCTCCACCAGGGCCATATGTGTGGGTCTTACAGGACAGGTCATCATCACTGATCTGGTCGATGAATGGGTCAGCTTGACATCAGGATACAAGCCAAAATGGGCTATGTCTATACCATAGCCCTCCTTAGAAGTGACCTTGAAAGACAATGGTAAAGTTAATCTTTCTAATGTCACAGCTCCAAGCAGTGCCCAGTCATCCCTTTTGTGTGGAAAAGGAAATGGCCATGCATGGGTCTGGGAACCAAGGAGTTGAAGTAGGAGTGATTCACATAGGAAATGTGTGCTTCTCATCCCCACAACTTTCTGCTCTGTGGATCTAAAGGCTTCCAGATAGGTCACGTGTCTTCCAGGGAACACGGTAGGTGTCCCATTAAACATTAAGCTATGACTGCTCCCCAGTCACTTTAGGCCCCTCATGCAAAGCATGAAGCAAGTTCTTTAATCCGAACTAGATAGTGTTGCTGTGTTAGAGTGGGTGAGGGGGATGTATTTGGCACATAGATGATCCACTCTGGTGCCTTTGGTGTTCTCCAGCCCAGTTTTAGTGGTAAATGGACAAATATGGCAGCTATAACTCAAGAAAGGCACAGTGACAAGGGGCTGAAATCCATCAGGAATAAGGGTGACTATGACTACAGTGTGCATGAGGGTAAAGGCCCGGTCCTACTGCCTAACTATGACACAACTCTGAAGGGCCATCCCTGCTCTAGAGTTTCCCATGGGATCGTATGGCATATCAACTCTATTCTCTGAAGTTCAACTTCTCCCTCTGCCCCGTTCTGCTCCCCTAACTCCCTTCTCAGAGATCGTCTCCTGAGGAATTGACCTAAGGCACACTGGCTCAGAATGGAAAGGATTACTGATATTTCATTTATTTTTGTCCACCAGGTGGGGCAACTGCATTTACACAGGAGACATGGTTTTCTATATGTATTTAAACACACATACATACATAAATACATGCTGCTTTTAATATGGGTAGCCACATTTTTCAGAAGAAAATAACCACATGACAAAATAATAGAATACCATTGCCATTGCATTAAATAGAGTTTTCCTAATAAAGTTCTCCTCTATAGCAGATTCAGATATATTCCTACATTTTACTGGTGTTCTTCAAGAGCAAAGCTTTGGTTTTCTATTATAAATGTACTTACTGCTCCTTATTGCTGCTGTTGTTAACGTTGAAAAGTGCAATGGTACCAGGCAGGTAGTGCTCCCTGGAAAATGAAAAAGTACAGTAAAATCATAACAGTTACCATCTGCATAATGCCATTAAAGAACAGTATTTTTTAAAAAATTGTTTTTTTAATGTTTATTTATTTTAAGAGAGAGAGAGAGCATGAGCAGGGGAGGGACAGAGATAGAGGGAGAGAGAGAGAATCCCATGCAGGCTCCATGCCTTCAGTGCAGAGCCTGACGTAGGGCTTGAACTCACAAACCATGAGATCATGACCTGAGCCAAAATCAAGAGTCAGATGCTGACTGAGCCACCCAGGTGCCCCAAGAAGTCTTAAAGAACAAATTATCAGGGCATCTGGGTGGCTCAGTCAGTGTAGCAGCCGACTTTGGCTCAGGTCATGATCTCTCTGTTCACGATCTTGCAGTTCATGACCTTGCGGTTGGTGGATTCGAGCCCTGTGTTGGGCTCTGTGCACACAGCCCAGAGCCTGGAGCCTGCTTGGGATTCTGCATCTCCCTCTCTCTATGCCCCTCCCCCATTCGTGCTCTGTCTCTCTCTCAAAAATAAATAAATAAACATTACAAAAATTTTTTTCAAGAACAAATTATCTTCAGTTACTATTGTCTAGACAAATTTTGAAAATATAGAGCCTCCATGAAGCTTGAATTGCTAAATATCAATGCGATGAACCAAAGTGATTAGTAAACACCTATCTATCAATGCTAGCACCAAAAATTAGCATCCTCCATGGCCTCAAGTGAGGCAACTTGGATGCCAGCAAGACATCTAAGACTTAGATTGTCAGAGAAGATTGGAAGAGAAGAAAAGACAAATAAAAAACACTGGGGAAACTGAAGGTTGTTGGTGGAAGCAGAAATAAGAGAGAGGAAAAAAGGAGGGAGAAAAAGCAAAGAAAAAGTAAATGTGTCCCACAATATGGGAACTCCTGATCCACACCAAAATCACATTCGTGCCCACACCCTTAGAGGCATGTGTGTGAAGTTCTCATGAGTGCTTCATTTCCTACTAAGGACTTTTAGCTTTTCTGTTCTAGCTACTCACTCCTGTGCTCAACTTCCCTGAAAGTAGGGGCAAATGGGATACAGCATTTCAGAGGAAGACAGCCAACCCTTCCCACATACCATTGCCTCAGGGCCCTGAAAGAAGGATCAGAAAGGCGGAAGAAGTCAGAGAGGACTGAGGCATCAGGTTCTAAAGGGGCAGAGACCAGTCTCAGGGGAAATGATCAGCAAGAGTGTTTGTGACTCAAAGCCCCGTGGGCATCGATAATCATCAGCCTGTGCTTTCCACGAGAGGAAAAGAATAAGTAGCAAGTTACTCCTGAGATCCTGCACAGTGGCTGGGTAGCAGGAGCATTGCCAAGCCCACTAAATGGAGGAGTAGAATACCTTTCTTTCCTCTAAATAATAGTTTAGAAAGAGATACGGAGGGATAGATTATACTGCTCACCTCTGTGTTGGTCCCCTTCTGCGTGAGTTATTTCTAAAGGAATCCCCTGCATGGGGGGTTTCATTCTCTGACTCTTCAAACATGGAGGCACTGTCGTCATCATCATCGTCATCAGAAAAGGAGCTACGGTCCAATAGGAGGCAGAGGTGAATTAGATCAATGTTTTAAATTATTATGAAGGAATAATGTTTCTCATTAGGAGGACCACTGCCTCATCTTTTCTCCTTCCCTCTCAAACTAACATATGACGCTTTTTCTTTTTTTTTAAGTGGGCCTCACACCCAGCACAGAGCCCAATGTGGGGCTGTATCCCATGACCCTGAAATCAAGACCTGAGCCAAAATCAAGAGTCAGATGCTCAACCAAATGAGTCACCCGAGTGCCCCTACCCCCATTTTAATTAGAGGGAAATGAGAACTTCTAGAATACATGGAATTAGATAAAATATATGCATAATTCAGTGCATACTACTGAATTGTAGTTCAGAAACCACTTCCTAGGTCTTCCATATTTCTATTACTTGACGCATTGATTAACGTTAATATTTATCAAATAGAAAGTATGATATCTATGTTTTTAGGTCACATTATACATTTGTATGGACTAACCTGTAATAACATCTCTTTCCACGAAAAATAAATGCAATATATGTGTATAAATGTCTATGCATTCATGGGGTAGCCACTTTAAATTATACTTCTAAAACATTCAGCATATCACACTATTATTTTCACATTCATCTATGGCAATGCCACCGCTTTAGATTTGAAATGTCCCATGAGAAAAGGCCTGGCCTAAGTGCTTCTAAATAATCACCACAATAATATCTCTGTTCACTTGTGAGACAAGTTATGCTGTTCCAAAGTATAAACACATTCACAAAATTAAATAAATTACAAAGGGTAAAGTCACAAATTAAAAGTTAAACTGAAATCAAGCCTAGTTAAATTTATTAGCGGTGGCTGGTATTAACAATGCATGGATTTACCTGCATGCTCCATTTTCCATCCTCCTTATTTCCTTTTCAATATCTGGAACAATCACATTGGGAACGTTTATAAAAGAGAACCGTGTATTGATAATATTTTTCTTCATGGTTAGTTTAATATCTGGGGAGAAAAAAGTCTTCTTAGTAGAAAGACTATATATTTACATATACAATCAAAAGTTTCACTCTACCATTCATCTAAGGCTCTCATCATAATTTTATTTCCAGTTATATATAGGACTTATTCTCTAATAGAATATAGATGTGGCCTAAGCCCTTCATTACCACTAGCCAGTTTTTTTGTGTATTTTTTTTAATTCAAGAATATATCAGAGGTGTAAACTTTTTTTTCTTAATTTTGGATTTAGCACAGCTTTTCCTTTTAATGTTTATTTTTATTTTTGAGAGAGAGACAGAGCACAAGCAGGGGAGGGGCAGAGAGAGAGAGAGAGAGAGAGAGAGAGACAGAATCCGAAGCAGGCCCCAGGCTCTGAGCTGTCAGCACAGAGCCCCCCACACGTGGCTCGAACTCACCACCTGTGAGATCATGACTTGGCTTAACCCACTGAGCCACCCAGGTGCCCCTGAATTTACCCCAGCTTTAAAATATTCAGGCAATGTCGTCAGAGAACAAAACTATAGGGACCTCACATACAGATCAAACAAGTAATAAAAAGCAGTAAAATAAAATACCAAAATGACTGTAATCAGCTATGAATTTCTACAAGCATTCCAAAAAAACAGAGCGGGGGCGGGCGGGGGGGGGG